GGTCTGGACTGTGGCTTTGGCGCAGATTTTGTCGGACTTTTGACCCCCTGTGCGGCCAATGGCTGTTGTGGAGGTGTTTTTACGGCATCGGTTTGCGGGCTATTGTCATAGTCTTGTTGTGGCTGTGATTGTGGTCGAGGGTTAAACTGTGGCCTATTCTGGTCTACACCTGAACTGTCCGTCTGTTCACCTATGGTTTGGTTTAGATTTTAAGTTTAGTTTAGATTTTTGGCTCAATTTTAATTTAGTTTAGTTTAGCACTGGTTTAGTGGTTATTATTATTATTATTATTTTGAAGGTTTAGCTTATTGTTTTTGCGATTGTTTAGTTATTTGGAAGCAAGCATTATTTATAAGCTATAAATTTAATACCATGGTAATAATATGAATTTAATGTGGTGTTAGTTTATAATAATGAAATGAATGTTTTTATTAAAATTTTTAATTAAAACAAACAGAAAACACATTTATTTGTTATTTAAAAGCATATGATTTTGAAACATACAAATGAAACCAATATTTAAAATTAAAAAATTAATTTGTTATTTTGAATAGACATTAATAAGCGGTTAATAATTTTTGATTAATTACAGCGAAATTAATAATTTTAGTAAATTAATTATTTATAGGATTATAAACTAGATGTTTTAGGCAATGATAATTTTGTTATGAAATGATCATGTTAACAGTAAAAATGTAAAATAAACAATTATTAACTATAATAATACTTATTTAAAATGTTATGAATTTAATTAATCTGTGATATAATTATTTTGTCTAGCCCCCTAACCTAAAAATAGAAACCCACCATGATTAGAAACAATTATAACATAATACACTAATACAAGCACAACAACATAAATAAAACTACAAATAAATACGATCATTAATAATGAAAATAAAAGTTTCAATAAAAAATAAAACCATAGGAAACATGTTATTAGGATATTATCAAAATTGATTAAAACACATTATTTACAATTATTAAAAACACACATGATCAAAAATATGAATATTATTGCAAAATTCAATTAAAAAACTCATTAATTGTGTTAATAATTAAATTAATTAATTAAAACAAAGCAACAAAACATACTTAATTGCATTAATAGTTTCATTATTAATATCTATAATAGTAAAAACCTTTAACGGGCTGTTGCTGTCTGTCCAGCGCCTGACTATCACCGGACACTTGTTGGGACTCTTGAGGGCTGTACTCAATGAACGGACTGTCATTATAGTCGGCTCCGGGAGTCTGGGGTTGCGATTGTGACGGTTGTGGCGGATGTTGTTGTTGTTGTGGTTGGCGTTGAGCAGCGGTGGGCGCACCGCACGGCGGGTACGCCTGTTGTGGCCAATTGCAGACACTATACCTTTCGTCAAAGTGGAGGCCATCGCCGCACCGGAAGTCAAACCTCGTTAATCCCAATTGATTGACGCACCG